GGATAGGGTTAATCTTTATGTAGTGTGGATCTTTCGCACAGGATCACTCTTATTCAAATAGAGCGGGAACACTTTGATGTCTTCAGTCCTTCATCTCCCACTCACCCCTCTAATTTGCTTCATGTTGCCCCCCTCCTTCGTCCTTTGTGGCCCAGTGATAAGGTGTAATGAGAAATGTTTTCAGAGCGGCTCTCACCTTCCACGCGAGTTTAATGGAGCATGTGTTTGATACAGCCAGAGCCGAGTGCGCTCGTCCCTGAACGCTGGGATTGCGGAGAAGAATAAGGAAGAGGGAGCACTTAGTTTTCAAAACAAGACAACGGAGAATAAACGCTTGCTTCGTCTGAACACCATAGAAGGATGGGCTGAGAGGAAATACCAACTTCATCAGATGCCTTTTAAAGATAATTCCGGCGATGGCTCCTCGAGGCTGCTGTAGGTCACGCAGCGAGAGCAGCTTTGAGGAGGGAAAGAAGGGAAATTCGGGAAGACATGGGAACAGGAATGTTTGGCCTATATTCACTTTGCACTAGTGGGGGGACCAGAGACGAGTCAGCTCTCACACTAATGAACTAAATCAGACAGGAGCAGAAAATGAAGGTTGGAAAACTTCCCCGAATGTGCTTGGCAAAAGCAACAAAAACTGTTTGTTTACAGGCTGTTTTAGCTTCAAGGCCTTTAAGAATAAAAGAAACAAATGAATTGGGTCACACTTAATGTTGTAAATCTAAAAATGAGATAAAAGTCTAACCCCATCCAACAGACAGAAGACGGAAAAGGCTCTTACTTTTTAAGGATGTCCACAACTGCGTTGTTGTTTGCTTCTCCTGTTGTTTTGGGTCCAGTGGGGATGTCATCTTGTGTCTCAGCTTAGTTTATTTAAATGAGACAATGGAGACGTGCTGCACTCAGGATTTTGTTTTTGTGGGGAAATTCAAACATTCAATAAACATCTCTAAAACACCAAGGGGTGTTTTAGACACACCAAGGGATGTTTTAGAGCTAGAGTTTCAGTCATTTTCAGGACTGGTAAAACGATACAAAGACTTAAATTACAGGCCCATTTTCTCACCTACCTCTATCCACGCAGATATTTTAAGAGGCTTACTCTTCCTCCTCAAGCATGATGAAACAATGCTATCTGCTCTCAGCCGTGGCTGTTGACGGCATTTTGGCGTTTTTAAGTTGGCCAGGAGGAGGCCTGGCATGGTTCTGCTGCAGTAGCAGACATTTGGAGGACCTGGGCAGCACACGGCTCCCAGAGGGACCTCTGCATCTTAACTACTGCATAGCCAGACGTCAGTTTTTCAGGCCCAGGAAATTAGCTGAGACGGCTTTGCTGTCCAGCTTCCCCCCTCTGTCATACCGGCACTTTTTCGACCCACATCCGCATGACGAACGCATCCACGGTGGCAGAGTGGGAGACCACTCGGTGAGACACCAGACAGTCTGGATTACCGATCCACTGCCACCACATCACCTCCCTAACAGGATAACACAGCATAATAAACTCCATACTATAATCTAAGTTATTACAACTCTTAACCCCTGTTTAATGCATTTTGCTCGGCTTACGGGTGCTGGCTTTCTCTGACAGCCGAGCCACTGAAGAGAATAGCCGCATAAGACCGGAGAACACGGGAAAGCAGATTGGCGGTGCAGTAATATTGCTGTTAATTGGATTTGGAAATTACGTGGCTAAATGAACACTTTCAGTGGCTCAGTGTAATATTTAGGAGAGAGAGAGAGAGAGAGAAAAAGAGGTGAGCGTCTTAAAGTTAATTAATCATCTCTTGCCCCAGCTTAATTAAAGTTTTCCAGTGTTTGTAGTCAATGGGTGGATGGATGGAACAATGGCACACAGGCCCTTCTTCTCCGTGGAGAGTTCAAATTTCAGAGCATTTGATTAACACGTATCAGCTTTTGCAACACTTCCAACATGCAACAACTTGCACGTTTTCTTTTTTTGTTGCACGCACAGGGACTGAGGAGTCCCCTTCAAACCTCCCAGCCACTGATACCACTCCCATTGAGGGATTCACATTAATTAACTGGGATAAGAAAACTACAAATCCCTCCGCTGAGGATTCATCTGCACGGCTCGGCTGCACCTCCATCCTCTGCGCTACGTCCCCAAACACACATAAAGGCTACAAAACATTGGCAGGTCTCATCGTTAGCGGGCCTGGGAAAAAGGGGAGCTATCCCCCATTCCTCCTTTGCACCATTTAGTCGGCTGGAAAAGGATAGAATGGTGTATTTTCTGAGCCACATGCAGCGGGTAAACAACTGTGACCTGAGCGGCTGACTGCAAACGTCAAGCAAAGATAAAACACGTGTAGTTTTCTCAAAAAAATATTCAAAGCTGTCGGGTGGAGGTGGAATTTAGGTACTATCACACTCATTTATGCTCCCTTTAGCTCCATTTAAACAAAGTCAATCTCCAATGCCTGCTTTACATCCACCAGAGGGAGCAGAGTTTAGCCCTAACCTCGGAGTTTCTATTAGTTACCATGGGAAACATGCCCAGATCCATTTCCTGAGATTCTACCTAACACCTCTGGAAAGTGTTGGTGTTATCGCTCTCTTTTCACTACTTGGACCATTTGTTTGCATCGATTCCCAAGCCCCCCCCAAAAAAAAGAGTAATTCGGAGCAAAAACTCTTGTCTGCATAGATGACTCTGTGCTCGATGAGCAAATGCCGTCTAGTATAATTCATGAGATGAAGATGAAGGGACTCTTTAAACATAAATTTCCACAGTTCAGTTAAAGGCTGGTGATTTTCTCCACTTCTCTGCTCTGAAAGACATTATGCACGTCACAGATATGCATGAAACAGGCTTCTGTGAAAGAAAACTCCTCCTCAAACTTGAGTGCCATCATCTCTGCACACGAACTTCTGAATGACAGAAGTGCTTCCGGAATCTTTCGCGTCCTGAATTCTACGCAAAGTCTTTTAAGTTGCTTTTGGAAACGAAGCATTCTGTCATTTTCAGCTCTTTTTCTTTTTATCACATTTTCATGGTAATGTACCATTCCCTACTGCCAAAGCTGCTCATCAAAACAGATGACTATTTTAAAGAGCTGATGCAACCCAGAGCAACCTCCTGGTGGTGGAGGCCTGGGCCTTAGAGCTGGTGGGCGGCGCCCTCTGCTGGAGCCTGCCTTCCACTTTTGGTGCCGTTAAAGGGATCGCTTTCTGGTTAAATTGAGGGGGAAAAAGAATCAGACATGTTCTTCTTTTTACTGGTTTATTGACATGTGTATAGTGATTGTCTGTGCACCGGACACTTACAGTAGAATATGTTAGAAAATTATATAAAATAAGAAAGAAATAAACAAACGTTGCTGTAGATAACAAGATATATTTAAGGAATGCATTGTTAATTGTGAGGTTTTACTCTGTATTATACATGTCAGCTACGCACTCACCTGTGAAGAAGTGAGTTTATACTGTAAGTTGAGGAATTTGAGGTTTCACCATTCGGAATGAGGGTTACAACAGAAATGTGATTAACAAAAAAATGAAAAGAAAAAACGATTTGGGATGAGCTTATGGCGTCACTGGTGCGACCAAACAACAAGATGCCGCGTTACAATACCGTCTTGGACATTTTCACCAAGACTGAAAGCTTTAAATACAAAGGAAAAGAACTAAACATGGCAAAGATCTGAAAGGAGGAGAAAGAAAAGGAATGCCTGAAGATAAGTGAGCCAAAAGGTAACTAAAAGCGAATGGGGGGGGGGGGTGCTGCAGCTGTTCATCCATCCACATGCCAATGGTACATGTTGTACCGGTTGTTTTTCTATAAGTTCAAAAAGCAGAATTCACTGGATTTGGCATGATTCATAAACAGCAGCTGACAGAGATGTTTACACTGCCTGATGGAGCCCGGTCCATTTCTAACAAGACCTGTGTAACACTGACCTGTGGTGTAGCGTTGCCCGAATGGGGACACATTTACTTTTGAGCGGCTATAAAAAAACATTTTCATTCATTCATTTACACTTCATTTACACTTTTGCCTTCTTGGGACACACGATACAAGCTGATCAGATCGGAGCTAATTTATGAAATATATTAATAGGAAGTTAGTTTGCAGCATTAGAAGTGAGCCTTCTGTGCCTGTAACTGACTGCGTGGAAATGCTTTCAGGTGGGGAGGGGTGGAGGGAGAAGGAATCCTTGTATAATCATGGAAGTCTCAAACACCACTACACCACCGGCCGTGCCTTCTGTAAACTGGATGTGGGTCCTTTCATATGTGTTTGTTTTGTAATCTGGAGACTTTTTGACTTCCTCCAGGCCTTCCTTCAGGTCTTGCCAGCTGAGAGTCTGAGATCATTATCCTGAGCTACAGCAGTCACCACAACATCACTCAACCACCACATGACAAACTCACATTTTGCACCAGCGCCTTTGCTCTCATGAGCTCTGAAACGCTCCAGGACGGGTCTGAATACAAAATGTAAACAACGCTGTCGACTGGCGTGATGGAAATCGTTAGCATAGCATTACAACGTGGGATACAAGAGGTCTGATTCACAAAGATCTATCAAGTATGAGGATTCTTCTAGGCTCTTTTTTCCTCTCTCTTTTTCAGGAAAAAGAAACTGAAAAGCTGCTTCCTTTTTTTTCTGTTTTCTCTTTTTAAACGAACCGAAGACTCGGAAGACAACTTGATCTGCGACAAACTCTCCGCGTGAATGACAAGTTGGCAATCCACCGTGCAAAGTTTTCTTTAATACCTGTATGTGTAGTGTATATACTGTACGTGTACGTTCAGCACATGCAAGCTAGACACAAGATCCATGTGAGTGTGTATAATCAGTTATGTCTTGTCTTCCATACTTGAGGCTATTAATGACCACACTTTTCGAACTAGTTCACCAAGCAACACCATAATATTCAGTTACAAAAATAGTATCACAATATAGACCATTCAATATGAGCACCAGCGAAGGCTAAATATAGCCTGAGAATTTGGCTACATTCATTGTCTGGGCAATGTTTTATGGTAGCAGTGTGTAAGTGGACACAGTGTTGGCAAAGTTTTCGCACTCACGGGCTCGCCTACATCTACCACACGGTTATATCTGGACACGTACAGAACCTGCTTACACTGAGTAAGATCAGTTAACTAAAAACCAACTGTCAGCTATAAAAATAGTTGTAGTTTTTTTCGTTTGTTGTTTTTTTTTTTTTTAAAGGTTTTTTACATTTTTTTTTACACCGAACATCTAAAAGAATGTTTCATTTCCCCAAATAAACCCCACCCTATTTCCTAACAAAATAGTATTCTTTGAGACAGAAAAAGAATTTTCTCTTTTTCTTTTGGAGGTTACGCAAGATCAAACCGACTGACACTGTCATACTGACACGCACTCAGGAACCAAAAGTGGGTTCGAACTAAGAGAAGTAATGCATTGTGGTCGGAGGTCGACACACACCAATTCTCATCTTTAAAGTTTCTATCGATGAGCGGTGGAATCCAACGCACCTCTGGTTGAGCCGCCAAGATGACACAAACCCCCCCCCCATGACCTAACACTGGATCTAGCTTATCTGTATGAGGGCTATTATTGCTTTAGAGAGAGTTGTGAGTGGAGTTTACCAGTTCGTTCCCTGCCTTTGCTTATCCTATATTCACTCAATGGAACATCCTCTGTATGGTGCACTGCTTGGGATTCTTCTTTCCAACCAAAAAGGACGCTGGGGGTGTTGTTTCACAGGGAGTCTGTGCATAGATGTCACCCAAAAGAGTAACGTGTTGACAAAAGATGAGAACTGCATATACTCAAAATTTTCTGAAATGAGAAAAAAAAAAACTTGATGGAATTTGAATAGCTGCATGAAAGCAGGAGCCCCTTGTTGCAAATTGCAATCCCATTTAGCGTGAGCCAGGAACCAACCGTCTGCACATCAGCTGGCAGATCGAGGGGGGGGGGGCTCTGAATGCACCTGCAAAGAAATGAGGTGAAGTGGTGCCGAAGCTGGGTTTTGAAGAAACCTAATCGCTTCATTACAGCGCCTTTCAGAAAGCAGAGCGGCGGTAAGATATCAGATCAAGACGTGCGAGATGAAGAACACAGATACGTGCAGTTAATGCCGTTAAACTGAGAGTCAAGGCCATTCGTTTAGTATGTGCAAAAAGCTACTCGTCGTTTCAGAGGATACACGTCACCTGATAAGGACAAAATCGGCGTTTGGACCTGACGGTTACACTGGGGCGGTGTTACTTCCTGTTTGAAAAGGCTCAAGCAGCAGCAATCGAGCTCCTGTTCACGTACAGTGTTGCTTCTGAGAAGTGTTGAGTTGGAAGATGGGTTAACGTTCAAATCAGCTGGCATAAAAATAAAGTATTAATCCCGCCCAGCAGAGGACACATCATTTAGAACTTTTGAGGAAATCTGTGGTTGAACACACTGTCATGTTTACTTTCATGTATCTCCCTGATCTCAAAGCACTGAAGGATAAACAAAAGAGGGGATGCCTCAGCACTGAGCTACATTCAGTGACACGACCTTATCAAAGAGTGTTGTCGTGCGTTGGGATGCAGTTAAGCGCTCTGAATTTGTTACCTCTTCCTACTCGTCAACGGCTGGAACGGAAATTAAGCTCAGGGGGCGTCATGTCACTGGGACAGGGGCTGCTGGGGAGAGGCGGCTAGTCGATGGGGCCCTGGAAGATGAGCCGTGTCCAGCCGGGGGTGCTGAGGGCGGTGGAGCAGAAGGGGCAGATGGGCCTGAAGGCGTGTGTTCCGTGCGGCAGAGGGGTCTCCGCCCAGTACCTGGCTGTCCTCTCTGAGCAGACGTGGCCACATGGCACGAAGCCGTGAGTGGGAGCTCCCGCGTCCACGTACACGGCGGGCTCCGAGCCCAGCCACAGGGGCACGTAGGGGCCCACGCTCCGGCACAGGGGGCACTCTCGGCGGGCCGTGGAGCCGTCGCTCTCCCCCGGTTCCTCCACTGCCTGGGATCGCTGGCCCCAGTCGTGGCGTCCGTGGACGTGCCCACAGGCGAGGTAGACCCAGGGCTGACGCTCCTCCAGGCTGAAGCAGCACATGCAGACACAAAGGCTGTGAGAGGCGGCCCTAAAGCGTGCGGCGAAGAGCAAAAAGCCCCCCTTCGGGGCGCCGCTGTGCCCACCTGTGGCTGCGTGGCAGGCTGGGGAAGGCCAGCGTGCTGAGGCCCACGGGACACTGGGGGCGGGACGCGTTCAGCTCCTGGCGAAGGGCCTCCAGGTGGCGCAGAGTGGGGGCGCGCATGAGCCCCTCGCCGGTGCGCCACAACAGGGTGGCGCCGCACAGGTCCACCAGGGAACCGTCCCGCAGCGCGCTGCTCTCGCCCTCCGCCTGCGGGGGCGAACGTTACACCCACGAACGCTCAGAGAGGGACGCGGGACGGGGAGGCCGGAGCCAGGGCGGCGGAGACTCACCAGCTTTCCCCGACTGGGCCCGGAGCGCGTCTCCCGCAGCGCGTACACATCCCCACACACAGAGATCTCCCTCCACAGGCCCTGCTTGGGGTCCTCAGGGAAACCCTCGGGGTGCATCACTAACACACCGTTGGTGGTTAAGCCGTCCATGTGCCCATCAGGGTTTTTCCATTTGGTTGCTTTCTCCTGAGGAAGAAAGACATTAAGGCATAAGTGGGGAAATTCATGTCTTATCACTGCCTCAGACAGCCATTAACTGAGGCTATGCATGGGGCTAATGTGGCCCTCCAAGCTTTCAGGCTTTGGAGAAAAGTCACTCTCTTACAAACTGCCAACAAAACCAGCAGTCTGGTGATTTCAGGGCTTTTTCAAGCCATTCCAACAGAGATTCCAAAAATACACGACAAATCAGAAACCCGGGTCTGAACGGCCCGCTCACCCCCAGAAAGATGTTTTTGGATGAGTCAAAGCCTGCAGCGTAGATGCGTGCCGTGTAGGGCGGGTGGCGCTCACACACCACTCGGCAGGCAAATCGAGAGATTGTGCTGGGAGCGATGGAGGGATCCTCCCCTTCCTTTCCCCCGCCAGACGTGTCTGTCACCACAAAGTCAATGGGACTCTCTGTGGAGCGTCCGATCTGCAGGCGGAGGAGCAAAGATGTCGCTCACTGACATTTCAGTGTGTCATCAAATGAAACAAATGTCTGTTCCAGTCAGGGGCTCAGAATGCCACAATCTGTTAACATTTTGTAACCACATTTGGAGACAAAGAGACACAAATGTACAAATATGCTGTTTTATAAATAAATAAAAAACTGACTTTTCAACTAGAACTCTTTAAAGCTGTATCCTTTAACGCATTAGTTATTTGCTAATATTTTTAAATCTGTTGTGCTGCATGTGGATGTCAGTGGACTGTTTTTAACACTTCCACAATCGTGACTATCAAGGCCTTCAAAGCTTTGATCAAACTGGGTGAGGCATTATCACCATAATAATAGTAAGAGCAGCACCTTCAGCATAAGAATAGACTTACTAAGAGACATTTCTCAAAGCCTTTCTTTTCAATGAATAAATAGACACAGCTGTGACCCAAAATAATCCACCTACTCCAGGATTACTTTGATGGCGTTACATAACAGAATATTTTAAGAGAAAATGTCATTGTGTTGTTCTTCTGTCGCCACTGATGGAAGATCCTCGATAAAAACCTGATCTTCTTCTGCTTGCGCATTACCTGGAACATGTCTGTGTTGTTGTCATGGCAGTACTCCACCACCACGGTCTGGTTACGGGACAGAGTGAAGGAGATGCTGTGCTGCCCCCTGCTGTGCACCGCCTGCAACGAGCACAGCGCCCACAAGCTGCGTTAGGCCACCTCGTCTCATCGCCCCTTGCTTTTAAGGAAACTCGGGATGCAACAACATTACTCTCAATTCAGCTCCAGAGAGGAAAAGGTTCTGTGAGGTAAGAATATCTGAACCAATGACAAAGGATTGGAATCTGATGTACACAATCCATTAACCTACCTGGCAAAAGTCCATCAACAATCATTCATAAACCTTTTTGTCAAAAGACACACAAGCACACAAAACATTTATCTGCCTTCACAAACTGTCCCCTAGCGCATATGAGAGACCACAGAGATCACAGAGGATCACAGGAAGGAAACTGCTGACAGGCGCACCCCCACCTTGCTGTCCTGCGGCGTGTTGAGGATGTGCACGGCGCTGGGTTTGACGCCGTTGGCTTTGGCCCGCCGGTAAAGAGCGAAGCGGCTCTTCCTGCGCCCTCGGTCTCCACTTGGCAGCGAGCCATTATATCTGGAGAGGTGTCAAAAACAGAAATCAAAAAGCTGTAACAAGCAGATCACCGTCTAGCAATTAAGCACACGTGAAAACCCGTTCCAGCTCCGGCCAATGAAGCCCGCTGGTGTGAACAACACAGAGAACACTACTGTCCTGCTGGCCTCCTTCACTTATGAGCCATTATTGGCCCGAACAATGGTGTTGCTGGCATCCGGTAGACAAATATAAAAAGTAATTTGAATGCAAGTTCAATCGGTCACGGACATCTGGGCAAATCTCTTTTTTCTGTATTCTTTTGAAATGGATTCAAAACAGAAAATTCTTTCCACTTGTGAGTCACATTAAGCTGTTGAACAGGAATGAACTGCACAACCAGCACTTGAGCTGACTCACTCAGCTCCTACTTAAGGCCCCTGTTGCCTCAAGAGGGGTTCATTCATTATCTGACCCCTTTTTACAGTATAAAATGCTCTCAAATTCCTTTCATAAGCGAGTCCTGGTGAAATCAGCTGCATTAACGATGATAGTTTAAGACAGAGCTCTCATTAAGTATGTCCTTTTGTTCATGGAAAGAAGCAGCTCTAAATTGTGTAATTATTTGATAAAGGACTGTTTGGTAACATACATTTTTTCCAAGAGGATGGTCACACTTTTTATCATCACACCAAAATATTCTGGCATGATGTTAACCTCCATTTTATGCTGACTATTCTAAAACTCTTCCCCTTTACAAAAAAAAGCTGTGTAAAATATCATTTGCACAGTGAGAGCAGACGGGGGGGCAGCGAGTTGGTTTTCACTGATCAGCGGAATGTTATCAAAACCATTTAGCAGAAACCCAGAAGACAGGAACACTATACCATGACCATACAGAAAACGAGGGCCTTTACAGCCTTTCAAACCTAATCAGATCAGAGGGGATATGGTGTGTTTTTTTTGTGTCTGTGACGTCTACATTGACCACAGAACAAGGGCTTGAGGAAACAGGGCTTCCGTTTCGACAATTTGGGCACAGTGAAACACTGAAAACGTTATTAATATAAACAGGAAGACTTAGCTTTTACAGCTGCCTAAAGTCAGTCATCAGAAATCCACTTGGTTGGACATAAAACCTTTGTCTTTGAAAATAAATCCTACGCAGATTACATACAATAGGAAATATTAGAATAGATATTTCAGTCGTTACGTGTCAGGATGCAAATGGAGTAGTTTGTTGTCATATATTTGAAGAGGCTTTCCGTCTGTTAATCTCACAACAAATAAAGACATTGTGTGGGCTGAAAATATTTTTTCTCAAAACTTCCAACACGCCACATTCAATATTTTTCAAACGTCAGAATCCAGTCGAGGATTCTGACTCAAAGCCACTGCTTAGCATTGCCTGGTCTGTTGTATTAAACTTAGCTGGAAAGAATAACTGCACACAGGACGGACCCAGAGGCGTCTGGTCAGAAGGCAAACTGGCTCAATTAGGACAGAGAATAAAAGAAAAAGAGTCAGCATAATCTGAACAAAAAGCAGTCAGGAGCCACCAAGTGTTTTGGAGGGGTGAATCTAAATGGCTGAAATGACAAGTGGAGGGATGGAAAGGAGGAAAGGCTGACAGGACTGAAGGGAGACGTGAGTGGAGGAGCAGCTCCACAAGGTGCAACTATGGGCACTTCTGACCAGCATCACGCATGTGCACACACCATACAGCACAATATGAAATATTTACTCCTTCTGCCCCCCAACACGGGGTTTATTTTTGTTGAGGGCAAGTCACCACGGAGACCTGCTTCTGTCAAAGTCAGCACTCAGCAGAGCACTGGAAGGCTGCAGCAGGGGAACTAGATGGGAGGCAGAGGAATGCAACACCGTCTGTGTTAGGACAAGTCGCAGACAGGAACAAAAAGGTGTGTGTGGAGTAGAATATATGCTGAGAACAAGACGGGGGTTTCATTGCGATGCAACCATTGCGGAGCGCGGGGGTGTGCTGGACATGGTCTGAGGTATTCAGCCTAACTATGGTGAAGAGCATCTGCGGGCTGCAAAAACCACAAGGCCTACAATTACGCAGACATTAACCATGAGGGATGTGTTATCATCCAGGCTGACAGATCTGAAAAAAAAAACAAACAAACAAAAAAACATACATCCACAGAACAGGCCTGAAAATGATATCAAGCCGGAAGCAGTGAGAAGAGCAGCCCGTTTCAACAACAATCTGATACAGATAAGCAGACCATATAGAGTTAACAGTCGAGCAATTGCAGCCGCCTGATCTTGTTATGAAAAGGCCAAAAAGGCTACAAAAAGACCTAACATGGGTGCATTTATAGCTATCAGCGAGATAAGAAATGGGTTTAAGCAACACAACCCAACCTTCAGAACAGCCATTCAGTTCTCACTTCCCTTATTCTGACCTCAGAAAGTGAAGGAGGCCTCTGTTCAGACAGTCAAATGACAAGGAGGACAACTAATCAGTATTCTGATGCAGGCCAACTACAGGCTCCTTGAACCAGGCCCGGCCAGAGGGGAAGTGACGGGCCATTAGGTCAGTTATCTTTGGAGTACACAGGAAGTTCTGCAGGGCAAGAGGGGGCCTTTGTAAGGCGGGATGTGACTCCGCATATGCATGTGTGCGTGCGCTGTGGCATTTCTGGTGTTGCAGATCCCGCAAAGTGTTAAAACTGCGAGACTGGAAATGCCATGGAAGCTGGTGGCTGTCATCAGCACATCCTGCCTACTGTGCGCAGGCCAGCGATGCAAATGGGCTTCTCTCTCCCTCCTCCTCCTCCTCATCCCTCTCGGTGGGGATCAGACTACCTTTTATTGATTCAAAAATAACCCACCAGAAGGAATAAGAGCAAGGTGCCTGCATTTTTCAAGCTACGGCATCGGTCTCAGCTCTACTTTTAGCAGCCAGGGATACAGATCCAGCAGTGGATGACATCATTGGGGTTTTCAGCCTGAGCCATCCAGCGTTGCCCCCCCCCCACCCCCCACCCACCCCACCCACTGATGAAAAGCCGCTACATCCGTAGTAGCCTTGTGTAGTACGGCTAAAGCAGATTTGGCCCCCTTTGCTGAAAAAAGATGCACAGTAAACGAAGACAGGACAGTACAGTGGTGTAGTAACTGAGGATATTGCTCCAACGGAACCCTGAACTTGCCTTCCAACACTCCTACACAACCAGACCGAGCATGACGGCAGTGTGTAACCAAATGAGAAATGAGCCGCGCTGTTTTATCGAGACCAATTTTGCTCGCCGAGAGAAAAAAGAAAAACGTTCTGGTTATTTAGCCATCGTTGTGATGGAGGCATCGTCCTCGCTAGATTGGTGATCTTCTGGGGGTGCTGCTGCACGTTTCATTTGCAGGTGGTGCGTTTCTCAAACCGTTACAATATCACTAATGCTTAAGCTCCGAGGAGACTTACCCCAAAATGACCAATTCTCCGTATTTTACCGGGTCTTTAAAGGGCACATCATCGTCTCCGTCTTTTTTCGGTGAATTCATCAGACTGGACTGCTCCAAAAATATTTTTTAAAAAGTGTACTTCTGTAGATCTTGGAAAACGCGTCCAGTTAGTAACAGTGTGAAGATAAAACAATGCTAACACAGTCGAAACTGTTTAGAAGTGGCTTGGTTCGTAGTATATCAAAGTTTGGGTACAGTTGGGTAAAGTTTTCCCAGACTTCTCGGTGTTTGTATTCTTATTCTGATCTCGTGAAGCAGCATCTTTTCGTTGGTTTAAAGCCAGTGGGAAGCTAGTTTGTATCGCGGAAAATCTGTTCTGTAGCATAGGGTACAACAACGGCTAACGGCAGGGTGTAAGACATACCATGTTGTGGAGGGGGTGAGACACAGTCAGTGCACGGTTAAAACATTAGATATATATCCTCCCAGTGATTTGCCTATTCCAATAATATTTGACAACATAATGGAAGTTTTCTTTATGCGATTACGTCTTTAAAACTTCTACCATCACTCAAGTTGACAAGGATCTTGAAAACACACTTCCCTATGAAAGTTCAAATGGATTATTCCATGATGAGTAGCAGGCGCTCACTGATAGAATAAAATGAGTTATTTGGAGATTCACAGGAAGTACTGGTGTCCCCGGGCATACCGAGGCCTCTTTGGGTGTTTAATGTAATGATCTTCCTTCTTGGAATTAGTATATAGCATCCCATAAGATAAATCTAAAGGGCCATTATGGAGTCTGACGTAATGAGGGGCTTCGGGGGTGTGTGGTGGCGGAGCTGAGATGTGGGTCAACGTAGCGCTCCAGACGACACCCCCTTTCTTGTTCCCCGCATTAATGTTGGAGCCGAGTCACATATAGGCCGACTGGATCATGAATTCATTTCCTCTTTTCCGTCCATCCCATCGTCAGACCAGAACACACAAAAACATTTAGACCCACTACACAAAGTGTTGTAAAGTGCAACATTGCATCCACATGAGGGCAGTGCAACGGCGAAGCTCAACTTCAAGAGATCTGTCTGTGGTCACTGCTTTGAATAATTTGAGTCATGCTTATGAGTTTCAGCTTTACTTTTCCTTATCCACACCTAATGTTTTTTTTTTAGAATTATTGCATTTGGGACAGGACAGACCTTTCCCATCCTGGGAGCAGATTAATTGTGAGCCAGAAAGAATAATTAAAAACAAATCTATCAAAAGCTACAGATATTGTCTTTTGCTAAGAGCCATGTGCCCAAATTAATTTCAGTACATATTTATAAAAAAAGGGTGCCTGATAGTAAAATATTTACATAAGGGGAAAACAGATAGTTTGATTCCCCCTAAAAGTCAGTATTTGAATGTCCACCTTTATCCTACAACAAACCTTTCTAGACTACAGGAATAGTTTTCTCATCCTCTTGAAGACTTTCTTTTTCTATTTTCAATTTTTTTTCAATGGTGTAAACTGATTATTTGGCTAGAAAATGATCCAATGATCCAGTTTTTTGTTTGGCTATTTTAGGAACTTTCATGAATGTTACAAAAGAAATTGGAACAAATCATGAGTTTTGCAACCAGCTCTTACTATGAGCTGACAGATATGTGAAACTGGTCTTTTTTTATTTGTGTTATCTTGTTTTATCTTTTAGTTTTGTGCCATTTTATAGTTTATTAATGCATGGCTCAATATCCAGTGGTTTGGAAAACAGACAAGAAACTTTCTGGAAACGGTCAGGTACATTAACTGAATGAGAAAAAGAGTGAAAAGGCAATGAGTTTGGAAATAAAACTTTGAAAGGCCTGCATGAAACCTGGACAAGTGTTGCTCAAGACCATTTTAAAAGATGACAGGAATGTTTGTGTCCTTGAGAACAAACCACAGAGTGAGAAGCAATTCAGGGTTTTTGCATTCTAGAACACAAATTCCAGAAAACACAGAAATCAAACAGAAATAGCAGATTTTTGCGCTTTTTGTTGAACATCCAATTCTTATTATGATTTTTTGTGTCCGATAATAGCTATTTTTGTTACCCTGTAAGTATTTAATTAAGTAACAAGATTTGTCTCAGTTCCCACTGCAATAACCCTGAAACAGTTGCTTAATCTATGTGCTGGCAACCTAGTATAACATGTGGTGGCTTGCATGCCGGGTTAGGCGCGGAGATGGCGTACAGTCCTCAGCATGACTCTGCATTGTGTGTTGTTTATGTAGATACCTGTTTTCATCCATGTTTCCATTGTAAAACATTTTCATGGACATGATCTCAATCTATCTGATATGGCAACAAGTCGTAACGGGACCATTTTGCACTCACTTCCACAAGTAACTGAAGTGAAAGGTAAGGAGTGGTAAACTCAAACCAACATCAGAATACACCAAACAAGGAACTGCACCCTTATTAAATGAGAGAAAACAACAGTCAAAGACTTACTTCTGAGCTTGCTTGACTGTGATGTAATTAAGTAACAAAACTTTTCATTGTGTATATCAGAGGCTCGACCTCAAACATTCTTTTTCTCGAAGATAACTCAGATAAACTGGACGGACCAGATGTGTGTGCATGCGAATGTAACCTTATTAGTGTGTGCGTGTGTGTGGGTGTGCGTTTCTTTTTTTTCCCACTGTGGGATTAAGGTCACACCCTGTCTTGCTTTGCCTCCTGAGTTCTCTGTCTCTTTCCTCTGTCCTCTCTTTTCTTTCTGGCTGTTTTTGTTCGGGTTGAGTTTTGGCATAAACTAGAAAAAGGATTCCTCACTTCGGCGCCTTTGTTCTGCATAGTTTATGCTCATAATAGTGCAGCAGCAGGGCAAAGATCCAATTTGGACTGTCACGGTTATTTGCTCATCTTGCCGATCCAGGAATTTAAAGTATGCTCTGAGTGAATGAACCGACATCCTGCCTGGTCATCTACTATATACAAAGTATTCTCTGATGGTCTTTTAATACCATAAGGACAATTTCACGTTTAGTGAGGGACATCTTTAGAAACAGAATAGCCGGAGGGATTCAGTGGCCTGCATCACCTAACTTATCAAAACAGATGCTTGCTGTCATAAAGCGTTCAAAGGCACTTATCAGCCATCTTTCAGCACAAAACACACCCAAAGGCCACAACTATTCACACCTTATACTGAGATGGCCTCACAAAGCCATCCAATTGTCTACCTGCCTTGATATATTTGCTTTACATGGATTCTGGTAATAATCAAGGATCAGGTTGCAACCATTCTGTCCTCTGCAGTGTGTCATAATTAAAAGCCGCGTAACATTGCTCAAGTTATCTTAACCTCGTATTTGGTGAGCAAATCATAGGTCAGATTGTTTCCTTTATTGTGAACATGTGGCATGCATTACTGCGGCCATGATAGCGTGACTTGGCAGGCAAAGAAAAATGAGCAAATGCCGATAATTTAGAGGTGAAAAATCGACCTTTTTAGGAATAACGCTGCTCTTGTATGTTCAACATACCAGAGTGTGTGGGGATATTTTTAGTTTGACAACAACTGAGCCCTTCGCACTCATAAGAAACAATCATTTCCTCCCCAAAAATTTAAACGCAGCTGTAACACCTCCTGAAATGTTTTCTTGCATGAGCACAGGCTCTTCTCTATAAATGAAAAAAGCTAAGAAGAACTTTTTCTTATTTCAGAGGCTGAGGTGAATACATGATGAAATACTAGCATCAGCTCAAATGAAAACATGAGCAAAATTCACACATCTGCAACATAGTGGAATTTCTGGAACGTGTTGTACCTGCAAAATATTTTGTCATTTTTATATTATCTACTTCCAAAAACAAAAGTGAATGCCTATAAATGCCAAAAACCTTCAAAGTGTGGAGCAGATATTTATGCACCTGTAGTGCTAGAGTGTGCACAATTCTTACCCTCAGCTGCTTACCAGAACTATTTACAAGTGTTGCCAAAGGCCTTGGTACTATGCTGACCACACAAAGTATCCAGACTTCGCTTTTGGGCCGCTCTCACTCCTTTTTTTTTTACATTTAAACTGTAAAAGTTGGACTCACAAACAGTAGCCCTGCTTTAAATAAGTTGAAGATGTCTTGCTCTTCTTCAACTTTAAACCTTTCAGAAATCAGATCAAGTTCTGGTATTCTGCAAGGTGTGTCAAAACCTTAGTATGGCAATGTTTGGCAAAATCTTTTATAAATGCCAGATATATTGACCGGTAACAACAAGAAACCACAGAGTATGTTCACAAAGAAATGTTTAGAGGAACAAAAACAGAGTGAAACGGGCAAAACGCAGGTCAGAAAACTTTTTTCCTAAACGCTTGTGGCCTATTTAAATCAGCTTTGGATTATGTTGTTATGGACCATGTATTGTACACCATCAGGCAGAGATACTGTGTGCCTTTCTCCCAATATCTGAAACCAAAAGCAAAGTTTGGGTGACAATAAGACACCTCAGGCTTGACTACTTCAACCTGGACTCAGTTTACTCTGATGTCAAAGATTCTGAGAAATGGTAAGTAAGAAACTGGAGTCAGCAAAGTCAGTTTAGACCTAATGTGCTCCAGCCATCTGCTGCTCGGGCTTTGTCAATGTTGCCATGGAGACAGGGACAAACAAAGAAAAGGTATTTCAGTCGTTAAGCAAACCTACCTCCCTGTTCGAAGAATAAACTTGGAACTAGCAAGGTGGACAGAGCCCTAGCATGTGTGGACATAACGCAGAGTGACAGCACTTATTCAACAACTGTAACACAATCACCCTGACTAAACGCACTTGTTCTACCTGTGCTGCCGCTGTCCTTACAGCCGTACTGGTGTGTGCTTGTGCATTTCAGAGACACCTCATTCTACTCGATGTTACTCGATGAGCATGCCCTCTCCCACATAGAGCAGACATGCGGATACTGATAATGCAGATGGCTCAGCATATTCCCATGCCCTGGAAGCCCAGACACGCCAGGCTCTGCTAGTAGTTTTGGCCCCCAACAGAGTCGACTAATTACATACACAAGCAGGTTTGTCACAAAACACCAAAAACAAATGCTGTCATAAAGTGGGGCAACTGCCTGCATGTGCTGCGTATAGCAGCCATAACAGACCTTGGACATGCAGCCTCCCTGTAAAAAAGAAAACGGGCACATTTATCTGCAGAATAAAGCAGCGCAAGATAAGAGGAGATTGTGTGAGAGCAGCCGATGAGTAACTTACTGAGGTCCTAACAGAACAATCCCAGCCAGAACTGAGCAAGTAGACCTTGCAAACATGTGAGGAGATTAACCTTTGTAGCCAGTGGCCGGCGCACAGCACTACTTCAGTTTGCAGCTTTGCAGCTTTTGCAGGAAAAGGTGTAAGTGAATGCCAAGAGAAGTATTCA